ATGAAGATGCCTCTCGCTGTCTGCTGCCGGTGCCGAGCTCTGGTTTACGGTCGCAACCGGTGCCGGCTGTGTATGGGGTCTGCTCTGCTGCGGTGCGGAGGGTTTGAGCGGCGCCGGAGTTTTTCGCGGTGCCGGGGCTTGAAGCGGCGCCGGCTTTTTTCGCCCGGGGTTTTCAGCGCGTTGCCGGGACGGCTCAGAAGCAGCGCGTACCGGTCTCGGTGCTGAACATGAGGACTTTCCCTCTGCTTTTTTAGCAGGAGTCCTCGGACTTCTTTGCCCCTCTCCCTGGGTCTTAGGGGAGGAAGAAGGCGGGAGAAAGCGCGATGGTGAGGCTCTCTGCCTTGTAGCTTTCGGTGGCGGGGGGGGGCTTCATGCTGCGGTTCCCCCTGCTCTGTAGGCTGCAGAGCCTTTTCAAACAAAATCATCCTCAGGCGGAGCTCTCTGTCCTTTCTAGCTCTCGCCGTGAGGGAAGCACAATGCCCAACAGCGAATACATTTTGTGTGGCCGTCAGAAGCCGGCATAGGCTCACGGTACTGCTCACATTTTTTAAAGCCTGAGGAGGCAGACATAGTTCAGGAGATTCTTATTTCTTTAAACTGTTGGTATTTTCAGTGTTTTATTTATTTGTGACTGTTGTTATAGTCCTTTCCTTTCCTTTTTATGTGGTTTATGTGCTTTTCTGGCTGAGGAGCCAAGAGAGAGAGCGCTCCGGTTCACCCGGAAATCCGGTCTGAAGGGAGTTTTAGTCCCCAAGGGGGGATTTTTGTTGTCAATTTTGTTATTCTTATAAAATATTTTATTGTTATTATTTTAAAGAGAAAAATAAGGGAAACTAACTTGGAGTAACAGGGGGAAAACTATGGTAACCTAACTAATGGAAATTACAGTCTGAGAGACTGTGAGGGAGCTCCAGCTTGCTCCGTCCGCTGACGAGGGTGGTTAAAGAGGAACTGAAAGGGAGGGGGTTGAGCCGCGCACTGCAGAGGGCGGGAAGGGCTCAAGACGCCTTCTGAGCATGCGTGGCTCAACAGGGGGGAAACTGCTTTGCAAAGCTCCGATCTGCGGCTCAGGGCGACCCTTCACCAGAGTGGAGCACCCACGGGGACACTACTCGAAGAAGAATACTCATTTTTAACGTTACAAACACAGCTACCCCTTCGAGATATTTTAAAATATTAGTATTTCTCAGACAGTTAAATTGTTATTTGTAGAGCAGTTGTGAATACATAAACTGAAGTATGCTACAAAGCACAGTGCTATCAATATCAGTGTTTGATTTAAAAAATGATTAAGAACATATGACTGAATTCACACGAGTAGATAGAAAAATATTGTAATAGTTTTCAGAAACAGAGCTACAATGCAGTATCTATGTTTGATAGAATTATAGATGAAAGAGGAAAGGCAGTCAATGTCAGGTCACTTTCCTATATTTGGCATTCTTATTGACATCCACAGAGATCAAACTACTTGATCACCCTGAGAGGCAATTCCTCTAGGTCAAGATTGAAAGCCATTGGCAGGATCACAAAGGAAAAGCTTACAAAGCCGTTACACCAGTGATGTTCCTGTTGCCAACAAGCATGAAATCTTCTAGAATATGTTCTTTGGCAACTTTCATAAACACTATGTTCACTTAAAATAACATAGGAAAGCACATTAGAAGTGTCTAGTAGTTTTTTGGGCTGTCAATTTCAGTTAACTCATGACAACAGAAATAGTATTTTTCAATTCACCACAAAGCAGCACCATAAAACAAATGCTTTATTGCGGCAATGCAACTTAGAGATGTATTTTTTGTTATATAACTGCACTCAAACACACCACAATGCAAAACTTTAGAGCCTACAAGTCCACTCAGTCCTAATTCTTGTTCATCCAATCAATAAAACCAAGTTTAATATTAATGGGAAATAATGCTGCCCACTTCTTATTTACAATGTCACTAGAAAGTGAGAACAGGAGTTTGCATGGGACTTTTGTAGCTGGCACTGCAAGTATTTATGTGCTAAATAAGCTAAACATTTCTATGTTGCTTCACGCTTTAGCTAGAATTCCAGAGTATAGGCTTCTAAGCTAACAACACTAAAAAAATGTGTTACCTGCATTCAGCCATGTATTTCATATTATAGCTAGTAATGTGAAAGCGTTAACTTTGTATACGTGTAACATTCACCTTTACATATAGGCTCCTGATATGCACAGGGAGCTGGCTCCCCCCACCCTCCAGTGTAACCACTGAAATTTTCAGCAATTACATGGTTAAACGCATTTTGAGATCCCTCGGGTGACAGGGACAGGCCAGAGGGCTACAGGAGGGTACTTCAAGGGAGGTATATTAGCCCTAGATTAAATAGGATCTCTGTTCCCTGGGTAAACTAGTAGGGGCTGGCCTAGAACCAACAGGAACTTTTCATAATCAGTCTGGACAGTCAGGCCAGTTGGAACACTTGGGGCCAATCAATCAGTTCAGACTAGTTTAAAAGGGCTCCTTTTTCTGTTAGCTCAGAAGCACATGAGGAGGAGGGAAGGAGCCAAAGATCTGAGTGTGAAAGGTATCTGAGCGAGAGCTGGGAAATGGAAGGAAAGAAGAGTGCCATGGAGAAACAGAATTAGGGAGGTTAAATATTGGTTAATTGAATAGTCGAATAACCTCATGAATTCTTAATCATTAGTCTACTATTCAATAGTCCCCAGGGGCTGCCCCACTCCAGAGGAGTCCTCTGCCACCCTGCGCTGCTGCCTCTATCAGAAGCAGCAGCGCAGGGTGCCAGGCAGGAGCTGGTCTGCTAGGTCAGCCAATTTAAAAACCAGCCCCCCTTGAGGACCAGCTAAAGATAAAGCAGCAGCAGCACAGGGTGGCAGTAGCCCCATCCAGAGTGGGGGTTGGGGGGTGGGAGAGGGAGAGAAATGCATACAGTCTATAAGTTAATGCTATAAGCTTTTGCAAAGGTACAGGGAGGGATCATTTGGGCAAGTGGCCCAAGGAAGTAGTTGCCAGATGGGGTCTGTTCTATTCCCAATCTGTTGCCACTGCCTTAGGGTCCCTGGGCTGGAACCCAGGTTAGTGGGTGGGCCTGAGTCCCCCCCCCAACACTTCCCATGCCATTACAGAGTCTGTCCCTGGATAAGACAACCAGGACTATCAAGAGGTTTCACCCCATACCACGGATTAGCCTGTGATGAGTATGGCTCAATAGGCTGTGATCCTTGCCACTAAAAAAGGAAGAGGCTATGTGAAGGTCACAACAAGCCCTTGAGGCTAAACACTATCTGCAAGAAGTACAGGACCCATGGACACAGCCAGAGCTCTGCCACAATTGTTATAGCTGTCTCAGATGATGACCCACACATGACGTTCATTTTGAGAACACTTCTACTGTATATTTGATGAAACAAGGATGTGAGATTTTTTTTTTAAAGGCAACTATAGCATTCAATCCAAGGTTTAAGAATCTCAAATGCCTTCCAAAATCTGTGGGGGCTTAGGTGTGGTGCATGTTTTCAGAAGTCTTAAAAGAGCAGCACTCAGAAATCACAAAACTGTAACCACCAAAAAAAGAAAAATCAACCTCCTACTGGTGGCATCTTACTCAGGTGACAAAAACGAACGTGCATCAGTCCACACTGCTTTGGATTGTTATGAAGCAGAACCAGATATCACTATGGATGCATATCCTTTGGAATGATGGTTGAAGCATGAAGGGACATATGAATCTTATCACATTTGGCATGCAAATCTCTTATGAAACTGGATACAAGACTGTCACGTAAACACCTGTTCTCACTTTCAGGAGACACTGTGACAAGAAGCTGGCAGCACTGTCTCCTGCAAATATAAAACTTGTTTGTTCTTCAGCCATTTGTTCAGACAAACAGGACTGAACCTGTAGGTGTTAAAGTTTATTCAACTTTCATCATAAGAGAGATTGCCACTGCAGCAATTGTATTGGGTGAATTAAAAAATTCTATTTCTTCATTTTTTATTTTTTTTTAAACAGTACAAACATCTGTAATAAAAGTAAATATAAAGCTCTGAATTGTGTAGGTTGTACCTCCCTGGTCCTCACACCCTCGGGATCTGACCAGCCCCTAACCAGGGAATTCGCCAGACCACAGGAGACTGCACTCAGGTGACAATGCAGGGTGGCTACCAAGCTCCGCCCCACAAGAGTGCACTGAGCCCAGGGCAGCCGGCTGTGCTCCAGGCCCCTGCTTGCAGGGCTCTACAGCCCCCACTTCTCTTCCTCATTCTCTCATTCCTGAGCATGCACCGCTCCGGAAGCTTTGAGAGGGTGGAGGAGAAGTTACTGAGCAGCAGGATGGCTTTTTCCCCATGAGTGCTCCAGCCTAAGAACACCTATGGGGATATCAGACCACAGATAGTACTGGACTGTAGAAGTCCGGACCATAAAGACTGAACCTGTAATTGTAATCAATATATTTAAAATATAGTAAACATCCAATAAAAGGGCTCTATTATTAACAATGCAATTAATTTTTAATCTCTTGACTGTTTTTAGCTGTATTATGCCCAAAGTATTAAACAGCCGTGACAACCCACTTGTTGCAGAGAGAGAAAGAGAGTGTGTGTAAAATAAATAAAGTAATGAACCGAAAACTCTTTCACTATTAAAAACAACCTTGAAACTTAATCTTATCACATATTTGAGCACATCTCTTGTAAATTTCTTACAGTGCTGGCACAAACAAGATACAAGGTGATGAAAATCAATGTATCAGTAGGGTTATGGGCCTCCTCAATTTTCAAAGCCACCAGTAATTACTTAAATTGGAGACTCAATCTGATTTTCAGAGAGCAGACACTTAGCATTTTCTGAAAGTTAGGCCCCCTCAACACATCTCTATCAGCTGGACTGCCAGTATCATTAATCATTTCAAAAATTTTGATCATGGTATTTTTACTTTTTCAAGAAAACATTCCTGTAAGATTGTGGTTTACATTAAAACTTTCTTTACAAAAGCTTACTGGGCATACCTTAAAAAGTGAGTAGTCACAGCCAGGCATTAAATTACTAGAGAGCTGGATATGGTTGTATAAACTATTTGAAAACAAAGAAAACACATAATTATAAAAAATACATTTACAAAATTTATCAGCATGTAAAGGTACAAATATTATTTTAAAAAGTTTTAAGAAAACTGAATCCATAAGCTCAGCGTTTGACTGACAAAATATACCTAAAAGCAAAGTAACCTATGCCTTAACATCAAATTATTAAAACTGATTGCTGAAGCTACCCCAACTTCAGCAGTATAGGAAATACTATATAAAAATGCATACTGTTTTATATTCCCATGTCAAACCAGTTTTTAGTAGAATATTCTTCTCTTGGAAAAAAGGATTGGGTTCTATCAAGTAGGACAGAAACTGATTTACATTCTCTCATTGTGCTCCATGCTACCAACTATTGTTGTTAAAAATACTGATCACTTAAACCCAAGTTTTGACTTAAGTTAAAACACAAGTTAACATTTCACACAAGTCACATTAACGTTTGGGACAACCCAGTGAATAAAGTTAGTTTTTGTATATTATTGCAATAGAAAGAGAAAGACTTAGGCTTCTGTGGTTCTTCTATCCAGAAAATCTATTTTAAGATGCATATTCTAAGCTATTAACAAGGAATGTAAAAAGTTACCTGGTTACCCAGTAAGCATTAGGTTTACCAGAATGCTTACCCGGTAACCAGCGGACCTCTTCAAATTCCACTGGATGGATCCCTGCAGCAGGTCAGGCTGAAACAGGCACCAACAGGCACCAACCTCAGTCCTGGCTGCTCTGCACCAGCTTTTCAACGGTTAACCGATTAAGCTATCCAATTTTAATAATTTAAAACAGTTAACCAGTTATTGGGTATTTAATCCCTACCATGAACATCTACAACATTACTCTCAGACAGAGACTGTAAACAGCGTATTTGAAATCCAAATAAGGATGGAAAAGAGACAAGCATACAAGACTCAGAGAAGTGAAGTGTATATTGTGTCATACAACTGCTCACCACCAAGCAATGCACAAGGAAAAAAAATCTGAAAACAGAGTGACACTTAATGCACTAAATTGGAGGAGTGTAGAGAGGAAACAACACGTTTGTAACAAGTCTTGCAATCACATGCAATATCTTTGGGGATCATAAATCTATAAATTATTTATCTATGACTGATTTAGTCCATGGGGAAGAATTACCACAATTCCTACAGGAACTAAAATGAGTCCCAGGTGATTCAGGCAAATCACTCTAGACAGGTACCATATTCTGGAGTAGTTTGCATATACTGATTCAGCTAGGTTTTCCGGAGACCAGGAGACAAAGAAAGGACTTTGGATATTAAAGGATAAGCTTAACTGACACAGGGTCCTTTTTTGATATATCAAATGTGCATGGTTTTCTGTCCAATGGGGGCCTCCAAACCTTGCAGAAGGGTTTGAAAGACTTTGGCCTATTAGGGCCATAATAGACAGATGACCTCTTGCAAGCTTTAAAATACATGTAGTTAACCTTTCCTAAATCTTGTTCTTCCATGTGTGTTACTCATGTCCATTCCATTGTGTAGACTCACCACATAAACCAATGCCAGAAGCTTTTCCTTCAGTGGTATCTATAAGGAATGAGCTCTTGAGCCCTCTGGAGTGGCACATGTGTGCGGCAGTAAAAAGGGCAAAAAGTAAAAACTGGCTCTCCAATCCCTCAGTTGCTCCTTGCCAAAACTCAACAAAAGCAAAAATGAGTGGGTCAGGAAATGGACATGATGAACATATCTTGGAGAACAACTGTTACAAAAGGTCAGTAACTTTTTTTTCTTCCAGTGCTTGTTCATGTCCTTTCCACTGTAGGTGCCTTCCAAGCATTACCTCAAGAGGTAGACAGAAGTTTGTGGACATGTTGATTGCAGCACAGCTCTGCCAAAACCTGTGTCATGTCTGGCCTGCCAAGTGATGACATAATAAACTGTGAACATATATACTGAAGACCACACAGATATGGGACATGCGCCTTTGGCTGCTCTCCTGGTGCCCCAGCCCTTGTAGAACAAACCTTCGCTATCTCCTAACGAAAATAAAGGACATGATCCAAGTAAAAATCCTCCAAGAAAACGAAGGGAGGCTTTTCATCCCATCAGCTACAGCAACAAAGAACTGTGTAGATCTGCAGACGGGCTGTGTGTACTCCACATATAAAGCCCGAATATGCCCAACATCTAAAATATGCAAATGCCGCTCCTTGGTCACGTGAATGATTGGGCAGAATACGGGGAGAAAAACATCCCAGTTGACACTGAATGTGACACTGCCTTTATCAGGAAAGCCACATGGGAATGAAGCTGAACCATGTTCTTGTAGAACACAGTACGGGAGCTCCAAAGTAAAAGATTTAATCTCAGAGACTTGTTTCACCAAGGTAATAGCCACAAGGAATGTGAGAAAGGGAATAAAAAGCCATGTGCTCAAAAGGAGGGCCTGTGAGCCTGGTTGAAGACCAGATTGAGGTTCTATTTGGGGGCTAAGTCCTGGATCAGCAGAAACAAGTTTTTCAAGGCCTTTCAGGAGCTTGATTGTCAACTCATGTGAGAATACGGATTTACCTTTTCATGTGAGGATGGAAGGTGGATATGGCTGCCAGGCATACCTTGACTAAAAAGAAGGTGAGGCCTTGATCCTTTAAATGAAACAGATAATCCAGAATGGACTAAAGAGATAACTGGGTCAGGAAGGTATTCCATTTCACAACCTAGCAGAAACACTACCACTTTGACAGGCAAGTTACTCTCATGGAGGGCTTTATGCTCTCCAAGGGAGCTGTTGTACCTGACTCAAACAGACTTGTTCCTCTGGATTAAGTTATGGAAGATCCAAGCTGTGAGGGAGAAAGCGAGGTTCAGGTGCCACACCTGACTACCATCCTCAGATGATAGATGGCTGGGAAGCATCAATGGGACTATTATAATATGCCCCTGAGCATGCCGAACCAATGTTGGCAAGGCCACACTGAGACAATCACAATTACTTGTGCCTTGTCCCTCTTAATTTTTAGGAGCACCTTGCTGATGAGTGGAGGTGGTGTACATCAGGTCTCCCGATCACGACGGGAGAAAAGCATAAAAAATGAGCCTGTGCTGAGACCCTGCAGAGAACAGAATGAATGGCAGATTCTGCTGTAAGTGCACAGACGTCCATTTGAGGAGCTCCCCATTTCTTGAAGAGCATCCTAACTACCTCTGAGCGAAGGGACCACCACTCCTGGTGAGCGAAGGACCTGCTAAGCAATCCACTAGCTTTTCCAAAGGCTTCCAGGTGGACTCGCAGATGAAGGGCTTCCTGGCACAGAGATGATGAATTAATTCCCCCTTCCTTATTGGCATAGTACACAAACACGGGGCTGTTCATCAACACCTGCACCACTGGACCAGACAGGTAGGGAAATAACACTATGCAAACCAGACAAATGACTGAGAGTTCCCTGGCATTTATAGGAAGAGCAAACTTTTCTGATAAACGGAACACAAGTTCACAGTATACCAAGTTGCTTGGAGCGAAGTCCAGTCAAGCCAGCCCCAAGGCAACTGAGGGCTGATTGCAAAAAGAGTGCTCTAAACCAAATGTCATGCTCCTTTTTGGTTTTCAGCTTGAAACTCTTATAAATGGGATGTGTCACTCACATGGGTTACCCCTCCCCCAAGTAATTCTATGATGGGGCATCACTGACTACATAGTTTTGCAGCACTCACATGGCTTGAAGCCCAGGGACCAGGGCATGCCTTGTCCCTAGGCAAAGTCCTGTAGACAATTATTACTATCTTATGTGCCAAGGGAAAATCAAACTACACAAAGTTTCTAAGAACTATATAGAAGAGATTCACAGCTAGAAACAGTTGAAAGGTAAGCTTGCCAAGTCAAGGAGACATTCCACCACCACCATTGGTGGCACGAACTGAGGAGCCAGTGGTGCCCTTATACCAGGGCAAACACATGCCATTCAATAGTGCACCAGAGCCACAACCTTAGAGAGATGTTAAATTTCGATTAGTTGATAACAGGAGGTGGGTGGAGCACTCGTTATCCTGTGCTTCTGTCTTTTAAATGTAGTAAGAGCTCCGTGGGCAGAGGTGCAGCAGCTGGGTCTCAGCACAAGCAGGGACTGCTTAAATCCTCTCTTATGCCATTTCCCTTGCTGCACCTCTGCCTTCCTGTGGAAACGGTGCTGGGGGAAACCGGCTTTTAAGACAGCTCCCCCCAGCACCAGCTCCTGCTCCTCCACCCTTGCTTGAGTGGATGGGGAAGGGGGAAGTGACATGGGATGCAAGTGATTCAACTAACCAATAAGCAGCAGCTTATCGGTTAGCACTATTGACTAGTTGCAGCCCCTCCCTCCGCTGCCGCTGCCGCAGGGGAGCTGATACATGAAGTCTTGAGACTCATGGGAACTGGGACTCAGCCAGCATCTTCATACCCCAGCTTCCCTGTTCCTTTCAACGAGGAGCGGCAGATGGGGAAGTTATGCTGGGACAGGCACAAGCCAGATTGCATGCTAGAACTGCCTACCCTTATCGACTAAGTAGTCGATAAAAAGATCCAACTACTCGATTGGAAAATGACTGCATTTAACATCCTTAGTAGTGACTTAGTCAACTAGTCACTTACATCCCTACTCCCTTGTGGATACCACTGAGTGAAAAACTTCCAACACCAATGCAGGTGGCAAGCTCATGAACCTACAAAGCAACTGACATCTGCAAGCACTTGTAGGACTTGTATCGTTTTGAACATATTTGTATGTAAGGCTTTTACCTTAATAAAGGTGCTTGCTTAGAAAGAGTTGTGGGATAACTTATGCTTACCTTATGCTATTCATAGCCCTCACAGAAGGCAAAGCACAGGAACTGGCCTTTTGGCAATCTGGCTTACTAAAAATATCACAGGATCACACAGGCTGAGAGTTGGCAGCCTAGCACATGGGGGGGGGGGGGGGGGGGTGGGCGGGGACGGG